GTGGTACAGTCCAGCTTAAATGTGGCAAAAAGACTAATTTGAATGATAAATTGCACTGAAGTCGATATATACCCAAAGTGGGCTTGGGGACTTGGAACCATTGTGGGTGGAGTCTTGTGATTTTGTGATGTAAAATTTCCAAATTGGCTATTAGCAAGTCCTATCAGTTGCCCTCCAGGGAAAGGAGTGAAAAGGCAGTGGAAAGGGCCAAGGTCTGGCTAGAAGAAGGGCCTTGGGAGTTCTATCTCTGATCCTAGGCTTACTGTCCAAGGATCTCTTGCCAGGGACAGAGCAAATGGAGGTGGCTTGCTGGTCAGTGCTCTTCAGAAGAAAGATCAGTTCCCCACCGGGGAGGAGGCAAAGCAACAAGGATGTTAACGATGGAGTTTGAGAGTACTAGTTTCATACCAGGTCTTCAGCTGTAAGCTTCCATCCCTTCCGTAGCCTAGGCAGCCTCCATGGGGACTGAGAAGCTGGGAGTGGCTGGTGTGAGCTGCAGCCAGGGGGCATCTCTCCAGCCTCTGGGCTGGGCTGCAGAAACGCTGTCTGACTGCAATTACCTGGGCAGGGGGTAGGGTTGCTGGCCTGCCTACAGACCTCCCCAGTTCCCCGGGGACTGACTCCTGGCCTTGTTCCGAGCACACGGCTGGTGCCTGGGCTTGCAGGGTTTTATTTATTTCATGGATGTCTCCAAAAACCTCTACCTGCTGTGGCCATTGTGGGGAAACAGCTACTCGTCTGCTGGCTGCCTTTGGAAGCTGTCCCCCTGTAAGAATACCTGTAGTAGGCTTGAGTGGTTTCCCTAGGTTGTTTTCATGGCGTGCCCGCATATGACCGTGGATCCCTTAGCACTTTTTGATGTCCTCTCTGGGTGGGCTGAGCCTTCATGTGTATGGCATGGCCCATGTGGCAGCCGAGTAGCTGTGAAGAGTCTGCTGGAGGAGCCATCTGTGAACAGCTGGTAGAAGCATTTTTAAAAGGTGGCTATGTTGACAAAGGTGTGTCATTTTCCCATTTTGGTCACAGTGCGTGATGTTAGACGGCAGCTGGCTTTGTGACTGATTGCCTATAGGATTTTGTGAAATGCTGTGCGTGAAGAAAATATCAGATCCACATAGCAAGGTTGTATCTGGTGTTTAGAAAGTATATGTATTACATACACAGCACTGAGGTTGGCTTGGAGTGTAAGCCTCCTAAGGTAATGCGCCCACCCCACGGATCTCCAGTGCTCCCTGTGACTGACTGGTAGAAATTAGTAGTGCAGGGTGACCCTAGTTTGATGGGGCCATGCAGCCACAAAGCAAAGGGCGATCTCAGGCACACTCCCAGCAGAAGACGGAACTGGGGGCCACATATCCCTCCATTTAGAGGTATAAGTAGCAGTATCACTGCCCTTCTTTAATGACTGTAATAGCAAGGAAGTAAAAAACTGTTCCAGAGGCCCATATGAAACATGCTATTTACTTTAATTCCCCCTTGAAAAATCAGTTGTAGATCACCAGTAGGCATTCCCAGCAGGCTTATTTTAACTCCTGGGACATGACAGGAACAGGGTTCTGACCTGCCTTTCATGCGGCCGTTTAAGTGATGGCACCGGGGCCTTAGCATGACACCAGCGTCCTGAGCTCTCTTGGCCAGGGTGAAAGGAGCCACAGGAGCTGAGTATCGTGGAAGGGGTCTATCGTGGTTGTCTGCTTCTGGGAGAGGGGGCTCCAGGGCTCCCCTCCCCTAGCAGGAATGAAGGTGTGGGCGTAATTCCTAGGGCACGGCATTCTTCCGGGATAAGTTGTCCTAATGCCATGATAATGTTTGTGCTGCTCTGAAACCTCATGTCTTAGCTTTATATACTTGTTAATCTGTGCTTTCATGAGACCTGTGTCTGAGCAGAAAGGAGACATTCCTTCAGATAAGAGTCAGCAAGTCAATGCCCTCGCCACCGGATGACTCAGTTTCTCTTGGTTATATAGGCTGTGCGTGTGCTGCAGGCACAGGGAGGGCCGTGTGTTTCTGTCTGAGATCAGGAGGCCTCATGGCCATGCAGCCCTGCTTAAAATATTGCCTATTTTTTTTCTTTTGAAATTATTTTTGTTTATTAAAAATGTATGTTAAACTTAATTTGTGATAGATGGTTTCTTTCTGTCGCAAAAATAGTCTTTCTTTCTGGCTAAGAATTTTCTTATCTATGCAGATTTACTAAAAAATGTATATTTAGTTGATCTAAATAGATAATCAGATTTTCTTTGGGCTGGGCGCGATGGCTCACCCCTTTAATCCCAGCACTGCGGGAGGCCGAGGCGGGTTGATCACCTGAGGTCAGGAGTTTGAGATCAGCCTGACCAACATGGAGAAACCCCATCACTACTAAAAATACAAAATTAGCCAGGCACAGTGGTGCATGCCTGTAATCCCAGCTACTCTGGAGGCTGAAGCAAGAGAATCTCTTAAACCCGGGAGTTGCAGGTTGCAGTGACCTGAGATTGCATCATCGCACCCCAGCCTGGGCAACAAGAGCGAAACTCTGTCTCAGAAAAAAAAAAAAAAATTTCTTTGGCTTTTGTTCTCTATGGATTGTAAGAATATTAAAATCCTTTTTTCCCTTGAATTTCATTTATTGACTGAATTGTATTTTATAGTTTTTTTTTTTTTTGGTTGTTATTTAGGCGAGAAACATGGTAATGTTCTATTTCTGCAATAAGATTTAGTAAGTAGTCCACAAATGGCCCTACTCCTCCTATTTCTCCTCTTATAACTCAAAATTTGTAAAACTGGAGGATACTTTATAGCTCAGTCCCCAAATTTTATAGATAAAAAGTTGTCTTCTTAATTTCTTTTGTAATAGGGATTAATTTGGAGATGAAATTAGCAATAATATCTGAAA